GTTTTGTTGCTAATTTCATAATTCTATGATGAAAAATGGTGTTTTGTCACAAGTTTAGCGACGTCATAGTGACGAAACATTTTTGTCATTATATTTAGATAGTTTTGTTGCTAATTTTATAATACATTTCGTTATTTTGGATAAATTTGCAGCGAAATTTCGGTCACAACATATTTGGTTACAACGTATAAGGCCTTTAATAATTTGCACTGATCCGTCACCAACATTCTTTTCATAACAACGATCAAATAGCCGCTAAATTTGTTTCTAAAAATTGTTCCTCTAAAATTATTTGATTTGGTTACTTCAAATATGCACTGCAGAAATAAATTAACTTAAATTGACTAATTACTCAAAAATAAACAAATATTCATATAACATAATACTCATAGAAAATTCATAATATATAAATAGAGAACTCCAAAACCACAGATTTCTGGTTAAAAATATCAAAAGAAAACTATCAAGTACTCTTAAATGAACCTACGTTCATCAAAATGTTACTACGCGCAATTTCTAGTTTCGAAAAAATATGACATTATCAAAAATTTAATTAGTGGGAGACTAAAGGATACGATGATCACTTGAAATAGAGGTATCAACATCGTTCAGATTACTAGCAGGAGGCATGGGTGCCACAGTCGATGGATTGTCTGATGGAGTCACCGATGGTTGCACATGCTCAACAATAATAGAACAAGATGACTAGTTAGTGCAAACATCATTTTCTTTATGAACTCGTCCATATTTGTAGATATTGATTCGGAATATGTAGGTGGTAATGATGATGATCCACAAAGATTCTGCCCATAGTAATTTTTTGCTTCTGATCCAAGACCGTATATTTTTCTTTTCTTTTCTCCCCCGCAGCTTGGTAATATGCCTCATATTGATCAATATCAGTTTGAGAAAATATTTTTTTCTCATAATATTTCATTATATTTTCCCTATAATAAAAAAAATGATAAAGCATTAAAGATAAGGAACAAACCAAAATTTGAAGGAAAATGCAGAAAAATACACAAGTTTTTAAGCATGAAAGAACTGTGTTATTGTAGCAAGATGGACTATCTTCTTCACCCACTTGGTCAATAATACTCACAGAGTATTAGCAACATATAATTATATTCACACCTGCAAAAGTAGTTCCCAGAGTATTAGCATTATGAAAGAATGGAGTTTGGACTCTTTGCTGCACCCACATAGTCAATAATTATAGTCTAATTGGGACCTGTACAACACAGACAATGACAATAATTGTTCAGGGAAATCCCCCTCCCCAACACTCTCTAAGTTCATCAGTGATCGAGCTATAGGAATATTCATCATACTCTATGTGGGGAGAGATCCATAGACTTGTGTACCTTGAATAGATGTGAGGAGCATCTTGAGATGTTGACGACTGACTTTTGGAAGCCAGACTGAGTTAGGTAATAGTTCTTTCAAGCTTGTATTGTATCATACTGGGAAAGTACTTGATCGAGGTTACATGAGCTTATGTATGTTTTTTTTCTTGGTGACAGGACACCCCATATAAGAACTTCGGTGACATATTGACAAAGTACATGTTCCTGAGTAGAATGCAGGAGATAAGAGTTTCAGCTTCTCAGACTGTTTTGGATATCAAATCAGTGGAGGGTCCTAAGGATGAGAAAATATGGATACCAACTTATCAAAGTTCATGTCATTCTTCTATTCACACAACTCCTGAATTACACTGAAGCAACAACAAATTCTCACTAAAACAGGACTAGAGTTGCACAAAAAATAATTGCACTAGAGTCACATTAAAACTATACTAGAATCACACCAAAACAACACCAAAATTGCACTGGAAAAGCCTCAAAACAACAATCGAATTACACCAAAATAGTAGTAGTAGTTTCTCTCTAAAATGACACTAGAATCACATCAAAACAACACTTAAATTGCATTGAAAAGTCTCAAAATATCATTAGAATTATACAAAAAAAATAGCAAAAAATACACATTAAAAAAGGACAAAAATTCACAGTAGGAAAGAACCGAAGCACCAATAAGTTTAAGACTTACATGGATATCTCGAGAACGCTCACCAACAAATGATTTTCCATCATGTCTGTTTGAATGAACATGCAGATTTAACTCACTTGGCATGGGATCTCGACTTTTTTCAATAGCCTATACAAAAGAAATCACGTTATATATATCATAAAATAGAAGATGTTAGTAATAGAGTTTGCAGAATATATATACTCACAAGTTTCTTCCGATGTTCTTCGATTGAAATAGAGCCGCCAATATGAGTCCCAACAATAGTTTCATGATTTCCAAGACAATTTTTAGAATTAATTTTTGATTTCCTAATAGACTCTGCACTTCCCTAAAGCTCCGTCCATCTTTCCCACACATTTTCTGGTTCATAAACCTGGCCTAACTCCTCCTTTTTTTTATTTTAACAATGAAATTCCTATATTTCAATGCTGCCTTCACTATCCAGTGTGTTTTTACTTCATTTTCACTAATGGAAATATCCCAGTAGATTTTTTTCTGAAATAAGTTTTGAAAGTTTTACATTAATGTCCTATCTATATATGTGAATACACTTGCTAAACTCACTTACAATCAAAAGATACACCTTAAATTCTCCAAAATAACCATTTCTTACATAATTTAAAACACCTTTCCAATTGATTCCATTGGGATTAACATCACTTTTGAGAGATTTGAATATGAAACTAGAGCATATTTGAGAAGGTTCCAGTCTTTAAAAACTTTAAGAGGTTATTAGGATGACTATCATAAATCAAAATTCAAAGATAACAAGTGTCATCGACACAACAAGTAGCAGGATCCTTACCTTTGATTCATTCAGAAAATTTAAGGTAATTTAGTAGCATAAATAGGCAGCTACAACCTAAGAGTTACTTCATTAGATTACTCAAATTTCAAAGGTAGCACATTTAAACCAAATAATCAGATTTCAAAGGTACAACATTTAAACCAAACAATCAGATTTCAATGGTAGCACATTTAAGTTGTTCAACGCACTATGTAGAACCAAGTTTAGAAATAAAATTAAAAGAATGGACTAACCCTGCAGAACATAGAAATAGAAGGATCCTTGTATGGCTACTGTTGGATTCACCTTCAGCAATTGTATTTGTATTACCTGTTGGAAACATTACTCTAAATAGAAAGACCCTTACCTATTGTGTTACTCTGATTTGGTGTAGTTGGAAGTGTCTCAGAGATGTTTGGGCTAATACTTTGAGTTGACGTTTCAATATTGGTCGAAGTACACCTTGTTGAGGAGAAACTATTGTGGGCTTGGAAATAGTTGGCGTGCTTACACGAATAGCAGGATTACTACTACTTGAGGATTTTCCACGACCTCTGAGTCCATCTATACCTATAAACAAATATAACATTGTTGTTAGATAATGAGATTACATGGGACAATGCTGAAATATGAAAACAGTCTTTGTAAGAGCTTGTTGATCAAGTGAAAAAGTAGTACTTGGATATACAAGAGTAACAAGAGTAACTCTCTATAACAAAACTAACAAGAGTAAAGGGATCATGAGGTTCTATAAGAATATTTACACAAAGAATGAGCATTAGAAATCAATCATGTTCTTTTGATAAGGCTTCAGAACATTGCTCTGAGTAGAAACCTATTAGGTTACTCTGAGTAGAAACCTATTTGGCTCTAGCCGTATGTATAAACAAATATGACACTGTTGTTAGATAATGAAATTACATGAGACAATGCTGAAATATAAAAACTGTCTCTGTAAGCTTGTTGATATGAAATCTATCATGTGCTTCTGATAAGGATCCAACACCTGATGGTTACACAATCAGCGTCAAGTAATGTCATTCAATTCAAAGAAATGATCTATTGAGTTTAAGAATTTACATAACAACAAGTCTCCCAAAGATTTAATTAGGAATTGAAAAAGAAGAAATAGAACACACATAGTTCAAAGACACGAACTATTTCTTTTTAAAATACTAAACTAAAAATAAGAAACTACAACAGATTATCCTTGATTGAAAATCTGAAACAATCAAAATATAGTGAAAATACAATAGCAAATGATCAAGAACTATTCAGTGTCTTTTTCAAACTCTTCCTCTTCTTCATCATCACTTTCCTAAGTTTCATACTCTTCTTCTGTGGATACTACGTGGATTTCATTATTCTCTTGCAATAATCAATCATTGGATCATTTAAGAGTATGTTTTCATCAATGAAAACTGTCATATCTATCTCTTAGACTTCAACTTCTTCAACTTGAAATGAAACATTTACTTTTGAAACTATTGTCACTTCCTCATTAGGCAATTCAATAACATTTCGAGGTTTGACCTTCAGCACAGCTGCCCAATGATCATTGTCCTTTTTATTGCTAGGATAAGGTACATAACATACTTGTGTTGCTTGCATTGCAAGAAAAAAAGCTTCATTATTTTTTATATCGACGACGATGGTTAATATCAACTAATTTTTATTGATTGTGCCTTTTAACACCAACATACATCGTTGGGTCAAACTATTAACATTTGAATAATATAGTTTTCTTTAATGATGATTCAAGATATTCTACTTGTATTATCTGTTTTATTATTCCATAGTAATAACCAAATTCGAATCTGAGATACAAACTCCACTATTCATTGTTGATATTGTGCTACCATGACATTCCGTGTGAAATTTGTATCCATTAACAAAATACGCAGAATAACATGTAGCTTCTATTAATGGTCCACGAGCAAGACTACAAAATAATTCATTCTCAATGGGATTGCATTGGACCTATTCTTTTAAAAATGTAAGACTTACTAAACTTTAAAACTTATTTAAACATGTTATTGTATAAAAGATAATTTCACATTATTCACAAATTACTTGAACCATATAGAGAAATTTTCTTCAAGACTCTTTTCTATTTGACCCTGAGGTAGATTCAGAAATTCTTCTTGCAAATGTTGCTAGAACGTACTTCATTACAACAAAATAAGTTCAATTTAAAACTCGTGATTTAAGGATATTGTTATATTATTAAGAAAATAAAATTAACTTCTATTACATTACAAATGTCTCAACCTCCTCACAATTTAGTAAGGTATAAGTTTTGGCAACCTTTGTTTCTTCGAGGGATAAATCCTTTTTTTTTGCTTCTCCCCATAGTAGACTTTGAAGGGAGAATGTTGATAAATTTCCTTCAATATCTTCCTTATCTCCACCATCATCACTATGGTCTACGGTATGATTACGTGTCATGACATGAGGTTCAAAATAATGAGAAAACAGTTGTTTGACTATGTCGTCAAGTATGCTTCACAAATGGAACCCTCAACACTAGCTTTATTTCCAATCATCCTTGTAAGAGTTCATAGATACCTAAATATATAAAATGTATGGACCATTCCATTAGAAGATAAAATATAAAGCATAGTAGTAGCTAATATTATATTAAGTTTTACATTTACCTTTTAAAAGGGTACATCCATCGACATTGTAGAGGTCCAACTATCCTTGCTTTATGTGGAAGGTGTACAGGAAGATGTTCAATTGAGCCAAAGAATCTGGGAGGAACTATACATTCTAACTTGCACAAGATTTGTGCGTTGTCTCTCTCTAATATCTCCGTGTCATCAACTCGTAGAGTTGTAGATATAAGATCTTTCAAAAATAGGCTCAATTCTTTAAGTACTTGCCACACATTAATAAGATGTAGTTCGCGAAAGGTAATATACAATATTCATCGCATGAACACATGAAAATAATAACTTTTAAAGCCATTTATCCTTTTCACATTTTTTTCTGGACATCTACCCAAATTGGGAACATAACCATCTGGAGACTTTACACCTTTCACCCAATTTAACAAGATAACTCTTGCTTCCTTATCTATCGTATATACAGCTTTGGAATATTTCCCTTACTATCCTTTACCAATTAATGTCGATTACAATACTCTACCGTATGTTGACGTGATTGTGAATTGTCTTTGGTTTTGTCATTAAAAGTAACAGTGTTAAATACATTATCAAAGACATTTTATCAATATGCATGACATCAAGATTATGTTGAATCATGTTAGAACTCCAATAAGGCAAATCACAAAAGATGCTTCACTTTTTCCATCCACAAGACTTGCATATTATTCGATTGACTTGTTCTGCATCTAAATCTATTGCTTTTCTTATGTCCAAATCACAAATTTGATTCAATATTTCCTCTCATATTCTATAGGTCCATGGTCATCTTTGGACAGCTTGCCTTTGAGATAATTTTTATGATCTCTCCTAAATGGGTGATGCTGGTCAAGAAACATCCGATGACAGACAAACCAAGATGTTATCCTACGATGTGTCAATATAAAGGATTCTGTTTCCTCCATACAAAAGGGACATGCTAACTTACCTACAGTTGTACATCTTGATAACATATAATATGATGGATAGTCAGTGATTGTCCACATCAAAGCTGCCCTTAGTTGAAAGTTTTTTGAGATGTAAAATGATTGCACGCTCGTCTCCCAGAACAAAGTCAAGTCCTTTATTAGAGGCTGCAAATAAACATCAATTTTATGTTTGGGATTGTTTGGCCCTGAAACAATGATTGTTAAGAATACATAAGCCTCTTTCATACATATTCCTGGGTAAATTATAAGGTATGACAATCACTGGCCTAGACTGACTAAATGGTTGAAAACCATTAGTACATAATCCTAACCTTACATTTCTTGGTTCTTTAGCAGAAAAAGGATCAGTGTCATTTAAGTGCTTCCAAGCCTCAAATTCTGATGTATGAATCATTACACCATCTTCTTTTGTATGCTCATGATGTCATCTCATGTCGGCAACTGTATCATGGGATGGATACAATCTTTGCAATCTAAGAATCAAAGGAAAATAATACATTTTGTTGTAAGGGATCAATTTCCTCTTACGAGAGCCAAAACGACGCTTATATCTATATGTACACAAAATGTACTAGATTTAAGGTGTTCATCATCATCACAATATAACATACATCCTGATTCATAGCAATCAATCTTTTCAACGGGCAAACCCAAGATACGCACTAGCTTCTTGGTCTAATAGTAGATATCAAACACTATGTTATCTTTAGGTTAAACCTCTTTCAACAGTTGAATCATTTGGTTATAGTATCTCTGTGACATATTGTTCTCCATTTCGATATTTAACATTCAAGAGACAACAACAAGTTTAGAGAGGGAAGAACTGAGACATAATTTTGCATCAGCTGCTTGTAGCAAATCATATAATTTTTGGGACTCGGGATTAGGATCTTCCTTCATTGAAGGTTCACAAGGATGAGAAGACTCATGTTTAGTATTTCTAAAAGATTTCCAACTTGAACCTTGGGGAAAGTTAGGACCAACTGCATCTAAAATCATTTCACGGTATGGATTATCATATCCTAATTTAGGTGTAGCACCAACATTGAGATCGTGATCAAAAGAAATCTCACCAATCATATTTTTTTCTCCTTGATGTTTCCGCATAAAATAGTTATCAACAAATCCAGAATTATAAAGGTGCTGGTTAATCGTTTCAACATCCGTGAAGTTAAAGTTGTGACATTTCTTACATGGACATCTAAATTTATTACCGCTCATCCGATTCTATTGCTAGCATGTAAATTGGATAAACATATCCACTCCAATTAAGAAACTAGAATTTATAGACCCTCAACCATCCAACCTATCATACATCCAACCACGCCCTAGATTATTCATGTTCCTAAATTTTTTTAAATTTACAAAAAATATAATAAAATTAGTAATAAGCACAAACCATTGACCAGAAGGTACTCTCATTCATATTCATCAAATAAGAACAAAACATGCATTTCGGCAAAACAAGAACAATTTCTAAAATTTTTCACTAGCAAGACTTAAACAAAAACTTACGAACTATTAAAGAAATTATTAGTTACAATCAACTTACAAAAAAAATTAGTGGAACATTCTAATATTAGTCACTTATAGAACAATTACAACATTTTGATTCAAATCAACTTACTGAAGCATTCTAGTTATAATGAACTTATTGAAACTATCTACTATATTAATCTCACAAAATTGATGACAAGCAAAATGTATGAAAGTATCACAGATAATTTACAGTACAAACAACACTTTTCAGTGTGTGAGAAACTAGATCAAAAAAAGCATTTGGGGACAATACTACAATTCATCAGCAACAAACAGAAGCATATTCCATGAAAATCTCCAACAGAAAATCTTTTTAATACAGTGCAAAGAAGAAGAAGGGGAAATAGAAAATTTACCGGATGTCTACGTCTTTCTTCAAGCTTCACATACACCAGATGATTTACCTTCAAAACAAATACAAATTAGAGGAAATAGATGAAGGAGAGAGAAAGCTGAGGCAAAGAAAAAATTCAATTGAAATTGCAATTTTAAACCCCAATTCTACAAAATCAGTATATTCAACACCAAAATACTCAAACTAAATTAAGTTCTACAAATAAACCACACAACACTAACCAACTCAAGCGTGTCAGGTAAGATAAAAAAAATCCTTCTTAATTTCATTAAATCAAATAATTTCGAGATGATTTTTATAGCATAAAACGTATTTAAACACACAAATAAAATAAAAAATCTCACAAAATAATGGTAACAATTTCAAAAGCTAAAAGGAACTCCTATTTATCAAAGTAAACATATGAAAAAAAGATATATACTACAAAGTAGAGAAACAAGGTCTACAGGGTGAAAGACTTGTCCCGTGATAATTGCACACGAATATTAGTAGTTGTATTATCAAATAAAAGCAGAGAGAATTTCATACATCTAAAATAATTAACTGATGCAACCATGCTAAATTAATGCTCACTAAATCAGAAACTAAAATGCTTTTCAAGCCATTTCGTTGAATCTAAAAAAAAAAGTTACTCTATTGTATATTTAATAGCTTAGTAGCTATTAAGTACAATAAATAAATAAGAGATGAGTTTTAGGAACGAAAGGATAACTAGCAGCTATCAAATAAAATTTTGGTAAATGGAAGCATAAATTCGATTCGTAGAATGATCAAGGGATTTGAAAAAAGCTACTCCACATCAACAACAACGAAAAAAAACACAAACAACCTTCACCTTAGGTAGCTTCAAGATTCTATCCTTATTTTGAAAAGAAAGCATCATTAACAGTAGCAAAACTGAATGTAAAAACATAGTCTTACAGACAATAAAAATAAAGAACAGAGATTGTACAACATAGCGAAGAGCGGTCACCGAAAATGGATTCAAACAAAAAGGAACAAATAAGCGACAATACTAAATACTAAACAATAAAATCAAGCTTCCACATTACTATGAATGAAGGAAATCCATTAAGAACACGTGTATAGCAAATTAAAGTCATCAATTCTCATATACAAACAACAATGATACAACAACAGAGTAGTGAGACATACCATGAATAGAAGAAGATGAGGAGAAGATTATGGAGGAAACATTACCTTTCTCCGAGCAGCGACCAGAAAGTGAAAAGCTTAAAAAATTCTTATCACCGTTATTTCGCGATATCGAGAATTTCGTCGAGCAAAGCATAAGCAAGCAAGGTTAGAGACTAAAAAAAATCTGAAAAATTTTCAAAATCAGAAATTAGAGCAAAGTAGAAGCAAGCCAATGCACTACGTTAATTTTGGCATATCCCTGAAAACCCCATCCTATTCCCTCAGTTGTTTTTCACCAAATAGAAGTCAACATCTCCTCTTCACCGCACTAGAAGCTCACCGAACATATGAAAAAAGAGAAATTATCAAAGATAGAGGTCAACTTTCACCTGAGGATGAAGGAGACGAGCAATTTCACATTTCACCTGAGATGGGCGAACGAAAGGAGGAGACAAGAGTAATCAAAATTTTACTTGATAGACGGCAGTTCTCACTGAGCTGCTGTTGCTGTTCTGAGCTTTCACTAAGAGAAAACCCTATTTTTAGGGATTGTAATTTTTTGTTTCCTTTTTGTGTTTTCTATGGACTGCTAGCTTGGTTAAAGAAATAGCAACAAACTTAGCGATGGTCATAGATTATGACATCCGTTGCTAAAAATAAATATAATTATTCACATTAAATTTTAGCGACGGATTTTTCCATCACTACATAATTCAAATTCCATTAATAATATATTTTGAATTCTAGGAACGCTTTTCCGTCACTAATTCCGTCGCAATATTATTTAATTTGTAAAACCTACTTTGTTGTAAAATCCGTAGTTAAAATTAAGATGCCAAAGTTTCCCGTTATTATTTAGCGACAAAGAACATATTCCGTTGCCAATCCGTTGCTATATTATAACTCAAAAAATTATTTGTAATTTTTGCAACAAAATGGCTACTTCGTTGCTAATCCATTGTTATATAGCGACGAAATTGATTTCGTCGCTACGTCCTTCACTAAACACTGTTTTTTATTAGTGAGTCAGGTTCAAAGAAAAATGTTATCTTAGAAAAGTTATTGATTAATGTAGCGAGGTTTCACTGTATTTGTTAAACATCTTTTGTCACTCCAAATAACAATTGTTGGTTTACTAGTTTTCAACTCGTTAATTCAAATGTTAAGGGTCTCAATTCTATTAAAAGTCTACATTATTTTATAAATCTATAAAGTACTTGCTGCAATAAAGCTCACTATTTCAGTTCAAGTTTTGAATACATCTTTACAAATTAAACTATATGAAACATTATGCTACTAAATTCACTGGTCAATCTTCTGCTTATAATTAATTCACTGAGTAGATCTGTTTATAACTACTCATGATTCAATATATTAGGAAAATTATTCTTAATCCTCCTTCAATAAGATATACATTCCATCTAAGTTTCTATTGGCCTCAAGATATTGACTAATTACCCACATCATCGTATGATATATATACTATTTTGAATTTGATTTTTGCGACAATTCTATGAACCAACTGTCCAAAGAATCAATAAAAACAAAAGAATAAGATTAAGAGATTAGTATTACATAGCATATATCATGGATAATAAGAGATTTCAAACGTAAAAACCAAGTCTAAACATGCAGCTTTTTTAACACTAACTAACTAATAACTTTAGAAGCAACTTTTCATTCATATCCAATTATTAGATTCCCAAGCATATACATATGGTAGGAATTTGAAACAAAAATGGGTCTATATATTAATTAGTCTATCAGTTAATCTCAATCATATCTAGACGTATGGTTCACTTAGCTATATATTATTGCAAATCATATCAACTAAAGAAAGCTAATGAGTTAAGGTATAAGAAATATATTACCTTTTATTAGATTGCTAGGGAAATACATGTAACTAGTAAGCATGAAATCTAGCATCGAATTTAGGAGTAAACATAAATATAAAAGAGAAAAATGGAAATTTGAATGATTTTTTTTAGAATAGTGAACTTTACTACATTTTCCTCATCGGAATGGTACTTCATTCATTCCAATTTACATGTCTTACTATTTTTTTTGTTTTAATCTTATCTCAAACAGAGTGTATCTTTCTGAAAACAAATGATGATTTTATGCATGCAATAGTGGATTTCCTTAATAGTACAAAATACGGTATCAAGAATTATGAAAAATAGACTTAACCATACATCATTAAATAATGAAATTCCAGCTCTAGAGTGTTGATATCCTAAACCCATGTCTTAGGATTCTATTAATTTTGCAATAAGGAGGAAATGATCTTCTCTTTGACCATGATAAGGGAAGAAACAATAAGACAAATTTATAGAATCACATGATATGGATTGAAAGGGAGAACAAAAGTTCCCATGGAAGGCAAGGGACCCTACTTTACTAATTAGATATATCCATGAATGTAGCTTAGGGGGCATATTAGGCCTAGACTAGTACAAAGATTAATGGACCGACCACCTCAATTAATAGTTCCTGCTTTTTTAAATGTTGTGTTATCATCACGATTTAGTTTGTGTTTGAGATAAGTACTTTACATATTTTTTATTCTCTCTAGAAACATTTACTTCATATATAAAATTTATTTTACTATAAAAGAACTAATTATCATATCTAGATTATTTAATCATTCCATATTTAAATATTCTCATATCTATATTATCAATATATACAACAATTAACAGTACCTCTCAAGGTGGAGCGTATAAGTCGTATGTTCCTAGTTTGCCGCATATATTGTTAATTCTAGATCTTTGGAGTGATTTTGATAAAATATTCGTCCATTGATCTTTTGTATCACGACCAAGAGTACCCCTTGATGTAACATGACACATAGAACCCAAAAGACCCCATACAAGTCACTTAGTTGTCATGACATAAGAAATAGAACGATAAAAGCAAAATAATAGTCCAACTCCGATATTTTTATAAAAGAAAAACCAAAGTCTACACACTTATTTCAATATCTATGTAGTATAATAGAATGAAATTGGGCCTAGCCCATACATCATATCCAAAAGTGAAATACATGAAAGAAATTAAACAATAAAACTCCATCCTTGAAGCATGAGGACTCACCAAAGCTCGGGAACCTCGAAATCAACCACTACCCACGAAAATAAGAACCCTGACAGTCGGACCCTATATTTGGGAAATTGTAGGCAAGAATATGCGTTAATAGAAGATAATGGATCAACTATAATAGCTATGCATAGAAAATTTACATAATGAGAAAAGAGAACATTTCCTTAAATGACATGCAATTGATCAAACTAAATCATGAAAAAGAGTTAGAAAACATCACTCATAAACCACTGGTAAACGCAAACTACATTTAAAGCCTTTGAACACATATGAGATACTTCTTGAAGTAACTTTAGTTCATTATTAATGTGAAAATTAGCCTTAGCTGACATAGAGACCAGGTGCGCTATAACATGATCTCTGGGGTTTTCCACATAGTAAAGGGTTGTCCTACTTGCCAAGGTACGAACCATAAATTTGAGGTAATGTGGATCCACTAGTAATGTCTATCTAGACAATCATGCTATAGGGCAACATAGGTAAGGGATAAGGAGATTAACACAACCCCTACTAATGGAAGAGCTTTTATCTCAATACCTGTCGGTGCTAAACATAAATTCAACAAAATAGTCATTTCCTTCTTGTTTTCATTATCCATACAAAGACACGTCTTTTTGTCAATCCAAGATAATTCATCATTCATGCAAAGGTATCTTTCAATAACTAATCCAAGCTAAGTTCATTAGGATATATATTAATATTTGATTCAATTAGTTGAGAAGACCTTTCAACCTTAGAATCCTTTATTATGTAAGAAAATCTTTCAGATGTTGCTTTTATGTGTTTATGAGAAAATCCTTTTGATAAAACATCAACATCATCATCATTGATACTTTACTCTCAAAGCATCCTTATAACATTTGCATAGATTTCATAAGAAAATGCATAAATCCATAATTTACCTTTCAAGGCTCAAAACCCACTTTCAATCATCAACATTTAGAAAAAATGAACTAGCTACGAATTTAATCATAAATTCATGTAGATCTATCAATACATGCTTTTAAAATTTTCCATATTAATTTCCAGGGCCAAACTGTTGTCAAAAAATGGTTGATGTTTCTTTCACAGTAACCAGACTTTTATGCAATTTCCAAACTAGTTTGTCGAGCTCCGCATTGATTCCAAGGAAGGGTTTTAAGGACGGAAGAAGGTCTGTTACTCTTTCAACCTCCCAATCATTTAGAGCCCTTCTAAACATAAGGTTTCAGCCTTGAGGGATCCACATCTATGCTATTGTGTCATTATGTTGTAGTCTAATAATGTACAATTTAAGAAAGAGTAATCTCATTTTCATATCGCCTAACCAGATCCATTCCAGAAACTGATCTTCAGGCCATTCCCCACTCTAAAAGTCACCTTCACATTGAAATTAATCCACATTCTCCTGAAAGTTTTCCATACTGATCACCCAAAGGTAGCATACACCTCTTCAGTTATCCAATTGCTCTGCAAGCGATATTTCTCAACTATGAACCTCCTCCATAAAGTTGTTTCTTTGCAACAGAATCTCCACAACCATTTTTGCAGTAAACTAGTGTTCTGAATACTCAAATTCTTAATGTCCATACCTCCTTTTGCTGTGATCATTATCACCTTTTTCCATTTGACCAGATTGTATCCTTGCTTTTATTTGTTCCCTTGCTAGAGGAACACCCTTCTTAACTTGATTTTCATTCTAATACTTTCTGGTAGTGGAAAAAGACTCAGCATATAAGTTTGAGAGGCATCCAAAACTGATATTATGAGAGTCATTCTACCTCCGAGAGACAAATATTGACTCTTCCACCTTGTTATCTTACTTTCACTTTTTTCCAAGACTTCACTCCATACTGGCAGTTCTTTTTTCTTGACTCACAAAGGCATCCCCTAGTGTTGAGTGGGAGAAAAGACAGTTAGCAGCCTAGGTTGTTGGCTAGTACTTGCATATTATTGACTTGATTGACAGGAACTGGCAACTCTTCTGCCAGTTTACATGTAGTCTTCAAATAGATTCAAATATAGTTATTATTGCCCTCATATGACTAATTTGTGACACTTCTGCACCACATAACAAAAAAAAATCAGCTGCATACAGTAGGTGTGTGATCTCCATGTTATTTGCTCTGTTATCATATGCACTAAAATGTTTTATCCACCCCAATTCATTAGCCTTTCTAACGATGTACTTGAGTCCCTCCATTGATAGAAGGATTTAGAATGGGGACATGGCATATCCTTGTCTCAATCCCCATTGTGATTGAAATAAACCTTTTGGACTCCATTTATAATGGATGAAAACTTCACTATTTACATATAAAACTTTATCCAATTCACCCATTTCCTCCCAAACCCCATATCAATTAGAACATTAAATAAATAGTTCTAGTTTACATGGCTGTATGCCTTCTCTATGTCAAATTTGCATAGGATACCTTGTATCTTTTTGTTTACCCTTGAGTCTACCAACTCATTAGCCAATAAAGAAACATCCATTATTTGTCTATCCTTCAAAA